ATTGGAAAACAATAGTTAAATGAATAAAGATAGAAAAATACAGAAAACAAAAAAATAATTAAAAACCAAACAGGATTCGAACCACCGACCTTTCAGACGTAACGCCGGTATCATATCCACAAGGCCACGGAGGATATTCAAGAAATAGTACATGACATTTGCTAAATAAGCAAACACGCGCTGTTTTTGAACCAATCAGAAGGCTAGAAATATTTGCTATGGCAATCCTGTTTGGGAATTGTAAATTCGCTGCCCGGCTGCCGGGCATATAGCCACAGCGTATTCACATTAACAAACTATTCTTAATTAATTCTTTTATGACACTAACCTTGCTTAAAACATGATTGTGAGTATTTAGAATTCTCCATATCTTTAGGTTTTGTCCATCACTGGTGGCCTTGAGTGTCGCAGAAAAGGGGCACTCTTTTTGAAATGTCCTGAAAAAGTAGCAGAAATAGATTCATTATTCTAATATAGCAGAAAAAAATCACCATATTTATATTGTTTTTAATTTTTAATTTGCAATGCATGAGTGGCTCAAAATGGTGGTACATTTTAATTTAATTTTAATACATTACATCTAATACTGTAATGTTTGTAATTCTATAGTGTAATTCTATAGTGGGCCTATAGACTATATATAGGCCCTTCCTATACATGTTAAAAATTGCCTTGAATGGTCGGTCGAATTAGGGCTGCCAACTCTCACGCATTGACCGTGAGAGTCACGCATTTTGACCAAATCTCACGCTCTCACGCTGATCTTACAATATCTCAAGCACAGCAAAAAAATTCTGAGATATCTCACGCATGCAGGGGCGGGTCCAGGGGGGTTACCAGTCTATAACAAAGCAATCAATGGTGGCGCGGCCTGGCGGCGATCTGTCGCAGCTCAGAAAACAAGTTGGGTCGGCCACCCGTCCCCCCTAAAAAACTCCTCGGAAAACATCAACTTATTTTTCAGTATTTTTTCTGCTGAAAAAAAATTCCCGTGGGCCAGAAAAAAGGGCAACTCAAAATTTTTAGGGGGGGTGCACCCCGATTCTTAATCGTAATTCGTAAATCGATTTTTAAGCAGAAAAAATACTGAAAAATAAGTTGATGTTTTCCGAGGAGTTTTTTAGGGGGGACGGGTGGCCGACCCTGGAGTAATAACCCACCTCTAAATTAATTTTGCTTCAATAATTGCATTCTGAATAGTTTTCGATGTTATCTTTGCATTTTTTACTTAAAACGTACTTAGTAGTACTATTACTATATTCTCTCTGGCAAGAGCCCACTCATTTGGTCTAAATTTGGTAAAAGTAAGTACTAAAAAAAAGTAAAAGTCCCCCTCCTCCACCACCTTCTCCCTTCTCCCCCTCCTCCTCCACCAGCTTCTCCCCTCCTCCTTCTCCACCACCTTCTCCCTTCTCCCCTTCCTCCTTCTCCACCACCTTCTCCCTTCTCCCCTTCCTCCTTCTTCACCAGCTTCTCCCCCTCCTCCACCACCTTCTCCCTTCCCCCCTCCTCCACCACCTTCTCCCTTCTCCCCCTCCTCCACCACCTCTCTTCTCCCCCTCCTCATTCTCCACCAGCTTCTCCCCCTCCTCCTTCTCCACCTTCTTCTCCCCCTCCTCATTCTCCACCAGCTTCTCCCCCTCCTCCTTCTCCAACACCTTCTCCCCTCTTCCCTCCTTCTCCACCTTCTCCAACACCTTCTCCCCTCTTCCCTCCTTCTCCACCAGCTTCTCTCCTCCTCCTTCTCCACCACCTTCTTCCTTCTCCACCAGCTTCTCCCTTCCTCCTCCACCACCTTCTTCCTTCTCCACCAGCTTCTCCCTTCCTCCTCCACCACCTTCTTCCTTCTCCACCAGCTTCTTCCTTCCTCCTTCTTCACCACCTTCTTCCTTATCCCCTTCCTCCTTCTCCACCAGCCTCTCCCTTCTTCCCTTCCTCATTCCTAGTCATATTCAGTCGGCCATACGGCCGCCGTGCGTATAGCCATATTGAATCTTATACACACGGCCGCCGTGCGTATAGTCTCGGCCTACATAATTCTGTAATGTTGTAATTCTCACATTATCTCAAAGAAGTCAGGTCTATATACATAATTCTGTATATAGTTTTTTTAATCATCATTTATAAAATTATTAATCGTATAATCCTTGTAGGGCCTATAATGTTTTAGGAGAGTTTTATTATCAATTAGAAATCATAAAATGTAATAAAGCTTTATTGTATCAGACAATGTCAGCACTCACTGTACAGCGCGCTGCCCCAGACAGAAAAATCGATGAGCATTTACTTCCCTCTGACCTCACCAGCTGCTGGTATTGTGAAACCGAAACTAATTCTAAAACAGAGCAGAACCACGACCAATTCAGAGGGTAGCACTGCTGATCGTAGCACGATGTATGACTCAATCATTTCAATTGCTACTATAGGAATGGAATTATCGATGACATGGGATGGGATGGCATGGCATGGGATGCGATATGGGATGGGATGGGATGGGATATGATATGGGATGGGATGGGATGGGATGGAATGCCGGCATTGAATGCGATTGATGGATGGATGGATGCATGGATAGATGCGATTTTCCTTTCAACCAAGCCGTCACCAACTCAGTAACACCACTGTTTTCCCCGGGCAACGCCGGGCATACCGCTAGTATACTAATAAAATGAACAAGTTATGGATAAAAGATTAGATTATAATAATACTTACGACTGATTGGGGCGCTTGCCAGTTGATCGGCTTGTAAAATTCTTCCCTCCGTGAATGCATTTGATTTCCAACTCCGTGTAAATCAATTCTGAATTGAACGATCTTTTTGGCGTCCTTTTCCACGAGGTGGCGATTTTACGCGATCTTCTAACGTATAGCTTACATGAGTTTGCATCCTCGTACACAGCAATTGTTTTCTTCAAAACGGAATAGGAAGAAAATAGCGAATTTCTCGTAAGTTGTGGCAATTCCAAACATGCGTTTGCCGCCATTTTGACGTAAGCTGCAGCGCACGCGTAGTGCAACTGGCGTAGGCTGCAGCGCATGCGCAGTGCAACTGGCGTACCCGTAGCCTCGAGACATTAAGATACGCCTGCAGCGCATGCGCAGTGTGACTGGCGTACCCGTAGCCTCGAGACATTAAGATACGCCTGCAGCGCATGCGCAGTGTGACTGGCGTACCCGTAGCCTCGAGACATTAAGATACGCCTGCAGCGCATGCGCAGTGTGACTGGCGTACCCGTAGCCTCGAGACATTAAGATACGCCTGCAGCGCATGCGCAGTGTGACTGGCGTACCCGTAGCCTCGAGACATTAAGATACGCCTGGCGTACCTCCAGCCACNAGCAGTAGCATCAGCAGTAGCAGTAGCAGTAGCATCAGCAGTAACAGCAGTAGCAGTAGCATCAGCAGTAGCAGTAGCAGTAGCATCAGCAGTAGCATCAGCAGTAACAGCATTAGCAGTAGCATCAGCAGTAGCAGTAGCAGTAGCAGTAGCATCAGCAGTAGCAGTAGCAACAGCAGTAGCATCAGCAGTAACAGCAGCAGTAACAGCAGTAGCACTAACAGTAGCAACAGCAGCAGTAGTAGTAGCAGCAGTAGCAGTAGCATCAGCAGTAGCAGTAGCAGTAGCATCAGCAGTAACAGCAGTAGCAGTAGCAGTAGCATCAGCAGTAGCATCAGCAGTAACAGCAGTAGCAGTAGCATCAGCAGTAGCAGTAGCAGTAGCAGTAGCATCAGCAGTAGCAGTAGCAACAGCAGTAGCATCAGCAGTAACAGCAGCAGTAACAGCAGTAGCACTAACAGTAGCAACAGCAGCAGTAGTAGTAGCAGCAGTAGCAGTTGTAGTAGCAGTAGTAGCAGCAGTAGTAGCAGCAGTAGTAGCAGCAGCACTAGCAGCAGTAGTAGTAGTAGTAGTAGTAGNCAGTTCAGTTTGCAAGGGCAAAGAAACTGGCCCAAATCAAACAGACACGCTCTGCGCAGAGAAAGTTGACGAACAGATCGGCGATACTGTCCGCCGAGCCAAACAAGTGATGTCCAACCAGCTATCGTGCGTATCGATGTAATCGAACCCACCAAAAGGTCAGCGTGCAGAGGTAAGCGAAGGGCCCAGGCAAATCCTGACGACAAACATTTTTCATGCTCGAATGCAGTACCGAGTGGCGTTCCTCATACGAAGACCTCAACACAGAAAGACTACAGGCCTCCAAAGCCCAAAGGTCTCGCATTGGCAGGATGGACACATCATGCAAGACACTGCTCTGGGCCAAGAAGTGGCCAGTGGATAGCTCCAGGCATGTGCTGCACGGAGGCAGCAAAGTATAATGCGTGCAGGGCTCACTCCAAATGACACCTAAGATGGATTGGCCTCACTAGTGACATAGTCTGCCGCTCTACGAAACAGCCCCACGTGGGCCTAAGCACTTCAGGGACATGTGACCAGCCGCGCATCCGCATTCAGTCAGAACTCAAAGTTTCCGTCTAGCTCTTTTCCTACTTGATAATCATCCCCGGGCCCACGGTAGTATCTGGTGGATGTGGGCATGTACGCCACGGGTAGCCAGTCTGAAGTACTTAATATGACAGGACTACCAACGAAGAGCGAACGTGGAGGCATATTCAAAAATGTTAGTGTGTATCAGGTTCTCAGAGTATAGATACAGTGTAACATCATGGAGTCACGTGACCAATCATCCACGGCAATGGCATACATTACGCCCAGAAACATTTCTAAATGTCAATGCACTATAAGTGATTTGTTGATTGTGAATATATCTACGAGGATAGTGAGAGACTATTGTATAAAACAATGAAGTTATCGTATAGGCGTACAATTAATTGTTGCTTATTTCGTTAAATAATGTAGTATTTAGTAAAAAGTTTAGTAAATATTAGTAAATATTTAGAGTAATATTTAGTAATAAATTTAACAATATTTAGTAATAATTACGAAGAATTCTCCAGTGTTTGTCTCCGAGTGCTTTTACGACACTTACGCGTTATTGCTACGAGGTAACAGCAGTCAACTGTCCTCGAGTAACGATTAAAATGTCTAGACACAGTGTTTGTTTTATTCTTCACCTTTTGTTTTACTTTTTTTTTATTTGTTTTTTTTTTCTTTTTTTATTTTTTTTTTTCGTATTCACTCAAAACATGCAATTTTCGAATCTTATTTTGGCAAAGACGAACGTTTTGTTGTAATTCTTAGGACTAGTGCCGATTGTTCAATAGTAGTCTCAGTCTCTGACTCGTCTCATAAGCAGGTGTCAGTGCATCCAAGTACTACACAGGAAAAACTCCAACTCGCGGGTTTTTCTGGCTTTTACGTGTGATGTTTTAGTTCGATCCCTCAAATTATAGTATGATAGTATATATTATACGTATATACGTCGTCACTCGAACAATACACTAACCGTACCAGGCA